CGCCGAACAAGCCACTCATGCAGCTGCTGAGGAGACACTCGCGGCGAAGCACCAGCAGGACCTCCAGACGAAGCAGCACCCCGAGTCGCAGTACCCCCAGACTCCGCACCCTCCGACTCAGCACCCCCAGGCTCAACACCCACAGGCTCAGCACCCCCAGGCTCCTCACCCCCAGGCTCAGCCCCCCCAGACCCAGCACCCTCAGACTCCGCACCCCCTAGCTCCGCACCCCCAGACGCATCATCCGCTGACACAGCACCTCGAGCAGCACCTGAGCCAACAGCTACCTGAACAGGCGCAGTACCAGGGAGAGGGTCTACCTGAGACACACCTGAGGGAGCAGGACCCTGGGGCGGGAGGGGGTCTACCGGAGGGGGAGCGGGAGCAAGGAAGAGCGGGGGGGCGGGGGAGGGGCAGAGCCGTAGGGGAAGAGATGGCAGAAGGGAACCGACTCTTCTAACGTGACGTCCATAGACGGGAGGACACGGCGCGAGGTGGGGTGGTAAAACGGCCAGCCAAGCGCGTCGGGGACAAATCCAAGGAAGACGCAGGGGATAGCACGGGTGGAGAGCTTGTCCGCGGACGTATCGCGAACAAAGGCACAAGAACCCCAGACCCGGAACACCGATGCATCGCCTGTCAGAATATTATGTTTCTCTAGTCTGCAGTGGGGTACTCTGTAGTGAGTACAACCCTGTTAGGGTTTGCTATATGTATCCCAATGTTTGCTAGTGAACCTATCTATCTTCTCTCATTCTTTTCGTCAATTGTCTAACATGGTATAGAGCGATTTCGATCCTTGGGCCCACCACTAAATTTTTTTTCCTACCCGAGGCGCGCGTCGCGCCTGCCCTTAACGGCCCTTCGCGGCCCCTCGTTAGGCCCCTTCGCGGCCCCTCGTAAGGCCCCTTCGCGGACCCTCGTACGGCCCCCTTCGCGGCCCCTCGTTAGGCCCCTTCGCGGCCCCCTCGTAAGGCCCCTTTCGCGGCCCCCTCGTAAGGCCCCTTCGCGGCCCCTAGTGAGGCCCTTCGCGGCCCCGTCAGGCCCCGTTTGCGGCCCCGTCAGGCCCCGTAAGGCCCCGTCAGGCCCCGTCAGCGGCCCCGTCAGGCCCTGTTTGCGGCCCCGTTCGGCCCCGTCAGGCCCCGTAAGACCCCGTCAGGCCCCGTTCGCGGCCCGTTAGGCCCCTTCGCGGCCCGCCCCGGCCCTTCCTCGGCCCCGTCCCGGCCCTGTCCCGGACCTGCCCCGACCCCGGCCCTGCCCCGACCCTGTCGCGGCCCGTTAGGTCCGTCGCGGCCCCCCTTCGCGGCCCGTTAGGCCCCTTCGCGGCCTTCCCAGGCCCTTCCCCGGCCCCTTCGCGGCCCGTTAGGCCCCTTCCCGGCCCGCCCCGGCCCTTCCTCGGCCCTGTCCCGGCCCTGTCCCGGACCTGCCCCGACCCCGGCCCTGCCCCTGCCATGCCCCGACCCTACCCAGGCCCCGCCCTCATGTTGGTCGTGGCGCACCAGGGGCCCGTGCACCGCCCCCCCCCCCCTTTTCCCGTCGCCTTGCGTGGCGAGCGGGGGGGGGGGGGGGGGGGGGGGGCGCGACCTGGGGGGGCGCGCGTCGCCCCTTCTTCCGCCTGCTCTGGCGCCCTGGGAGGCCGCGCATCGGCCCCCGTACTCCTCCCCCCCCCCCCCCCGCCCCCCCCCTCAGGTCGCCTCAACAGGCGACGGGAGGGGCGACCTGGGGGGGGGGGGCGCGCGTCGGAGCAGCCGCCCCTGGTGCAGCCGCCCCTGGTGCAGCCGCCCCTGGTGCAGCTGCCCCTGGTGCAGCAGCCCCTGGAGCAGCCGCCCCTGGTGCAGCCGCCCCTGGTGCAGCCGCCCCTGGAGCAGCCGCCCCTGGTGCAGCCGCCCCTGGAGCAGCCGCCCCTGGTGCAGCCGCTCCTGGACCTCAGCAGCCGCCCCTGGCCCCTGGCCCCTGGAGCAGCCGTCCCTGGACCCCGCGCCGCCGCCCCTGGACCCAGTGCTAGGGGGTGGGGTGTGAGTGAACCTAGGGGTGCAGCAGAGGGTGTGTGAATGGGGGGTGCGGCAGTAGAGGGAGGTTGGGTGGAGGTAGCCGTCGTGTTGCTAGCAGTGCCAGTAGTCGGGAGGTGCGCTTCCGGTAGCCCAGTGATGCCGCAGCGCCAGTCGCCCGTGGGTCCGTTGCTCCTGCCGCTCGTCTTAGCCGCGGAGCCAGTTACTCCTGTAGTCCGGAGGTGCGCCTCCGGTAGCCACAGTGCGCGCCGCTCCTGTTGCCCGTGTGACTGCAGCTTCCGCCGTTGCCTCCTCTCTCCTCTCCTATTAGTCCAGCCTCCTCCTCCTCACTTGCCCTCTGTGATAGCCTCTAGCTTTACTTATTTACTGTGAACTATAAACTGTTGCTTCTTGTACTTGTGCTCAGAATGTGTGGTGACATTGTGATCCACCCTGAGCTTGCTTTGCTTTGCTTGTTGTGCTGATCATACCCCACTTTGACTATGGGGGTGTGTCAGAATATTATGTTTCTCTAGTCTGCAGTGGGGTACTCTGTAGTGAGTACAACCCTGTTAGGGTTTGCTATATGTATCCCAATGTTTGCTAGTGAACCCATCTATCTTCTCTCATTCTTTTCCTCAATCATTCCCACATCGCCAACCTGCCCCGTCCAACGCAGTGTGGGCGAAGTCTCCGGCAAGGAGACACGGGGCCAGAGTTTGAGCTGATGCGCAGCGTACCGGACCGCAAATGGCCACAGAAAATGGGGAGCAGTCGCATGGATCACGGAGGTACGAGCAACCTCCATGACTAAGCCAATGCTGCGCTCAGCAATCCCATTTTGCTAAGGGGAGTCCGGAAGCGTGAACGACTGGAGAATGCACTCCCCACGACAAAAGTCTCACAAGAGGTCAGAGGAGAACTTCCACCTCTGTCAGGAATTTCTCAAATGCATGAGAGGAAGGTCCTGGCGGAACCGCTCGCGGAGCTGGAGACGAACAGTGCGGATCAAGACATCAACAACCTCACCCTTGCTGCGCAAGGGGAAGACTGTGGTGTACCGCGTGTAGTCGTCAACGACCAGCAGAAAGTAGCGCTCGCGGCCCTGTCCACTGACGCGGGCTGGGCCCCACACGTCCATGTGGAGAGTCTGCAGGGGAGCAGTCGTCGGGGGAAACCAGGAAGAGTGAGGAGGAGCGCGCTGCCGCCCCTCGACGAAAGGAAGACTTGGCGGGGCAGGCGAGGGGGGGAGGGGAGGCAGAGACCTGGGTAGACTAGAGACAAGAAGACGGGAGTGCATGCCACGAAGGCGTGGCGGGGAGGGGTGACCCAGGCGGTGGTGCCACAGAAGAGTCTGGTGCGACAGGAGGCGACACAAGCAAGAGGCGGCTACCTGACCTGACGCGGACACCTGAGCAGTCGCAGCTACCTGAGGAGGCTCGGTAGCGAGTGTGTACATTCTCGACACTGGGCGACGAGTGAATGTGGTCAGGTGACGCCCCATTCGTTTGCACGTGCAGATCGACACACGCTGACCCCCAGGAGTCACAGCAGCAACCGCGCATAGCAGCCACGCGCAGCAGCGAGTGCACGCACGTAGCAGCAGCCGCATGCATGCAGCCACAGCATCCCCCATCTGAAGCGCATAGCTGCTATTGCTTGCAGCCGCCAGCAGCGCTAGTACTTGCAGCCGCCAGCAGCCACAGCAGCGCTAGCAGCTACCACAACATGCATTGTTGCAGCAGCGCACGAAAACTGCTAGCACTAGCCAGCCACCAGCGCACTCGCCGCCCGCAGTGCGCCCGCAGCAGCGCACTGCTGCATTGCGCGCAGCAGCCAGTAGCACTAGTGTCTACAGCGCCAGCAGCTCCAGCTAACAGCCATGCACGATTGCACCTAGCGCAGTACACCTGCCCGCCTGTAGCTACCCACAGGAGTTGCATTAGCAGCAGGAGGAGGAGGAGGATTTGCAGCGGCAGGAGCTGCAGCAGCCGTAGCAGCACCAGGAGCAACAGCAGTGGCAGCAGCTGCAGCAGACCCAACGATTAATTTTGCAGCAGTTGTTCCCACCTCTGAGTGGCCTTCGGGCCCTTGGTCTCTCTTCCTCCTCTCCAGACAACTAACGGCCTCCTACTGTTCACGTTGTTCCTCCTCCGGACTCGTCCCCGGCTGTTCTCTCTCCTCGTTCCCAGTCGGCTCCTCCTGTTGTCCAGCACTCTCGCTTCCGCCCCTGTCCTCCACGAGCTCGTTCCTCGTCTCCTATTGACGACATTCGCACCGTCCTCCTCTGTTCTAGTCATGGTCGTTCTCTGCCTAGGTCTGTTCTCCCTTAGTCTGTTCTCCCTTCTCCTCCTGAGTCATCTCTTCCTTTCTCCTCTACCCCCATCACTGACTATTACTGTGCTACTGGTCCTCACGTGCTTTCGCCTCTCTTGTCACGAACCCTCGTGCCTCTCCACCGTTTGTCTCGGCTCTTGTTGCCACCGTTGGTGACTTCGCCACCACTCGCCGCCTTGACTATGCCACCCGTGTGGTGGTTGTTCCCCCTACCCATCCTCTGTCCGCTGGGGGTGAGTCTACCTTTGGCTATGACATCCTAGAGGACAGGTGCCTCTACACCCCCAACACTAGTACCGAAAGCTCCGCCATCGTGGCTGCCCCACCGGACAGCCCACTCACGAAGCTGCTGCGGCGAGAGGGTCATCGGCGGACGCTGCTGCCGCTGCTGTCCACCCAGGGCCTATGTTTGGTTTTTGGCTACTCACGATTAACAGTGTAGCCTTTTTCAAAACCCTTCTGATCAGTGTGTAAAATTTCGTTACACTGATACATCAGTGTAACATTGAGTTTCAGAAATTTTACCCTAGAGCATCAGTGTAGTATTTTTGTGTACCCTTATCGCAAATACATATTGACTAAGTTCAGGCAGCATCACTGTACGTGATGCCAAGATTCCTTTCCTTGGCGTGCTGGATACCGAACCGAAACATAAAAACGTGACCAATTAGACACATGACTGCTGGCAACGCACTTACTGCAGGGAAGGCCGCTTCGGTACTTGCGTGATTGACGGAAATCACGCTCCGACAGATTTCGGGAGTGGGGGGGGGGGGTGCCCTGTACGCCCCTAAGGGTAATCTTCGCTAAGGGAAAATTTACCCCAGAGCATCAATGTGGCCTAAATCGTTTCACTGTCAAATCAGTGTAACGCTAATCCCCAAAAAAAAAAACCCAAACACATCAGTGCAAGCCCAAAAAAACACCCTTCTCATCAGTATAGTAGTGTGATTTACACTTATAAAATAGGCCCTGTGTCCACCCTTAGTGTTAAAGTTAAGCTAGAGGAAGCCATGGCTTCCATGACAGAAGATAGAAGGAATTGTATTAGGAAAGAAATGCAGACTACTCCGCCGTTATCCCTCCTCTTATTTCTCCCCTTAGCGGCGCAGCAGCAGACTACTCCGCCGTTATCCCTCCTCTTATTTCTCCCCTCAACGGCTCAACAGCAGACTACTCCACCGTTATCCCTCCTCTTATTTCTCCCCTCAACGGCTCAGCAGCTGACTACCTCCCCTATGTGACGCCCCAGTGCACTTAGGCTCCAGTGCATAGCGAGAGAAGAATTGTATGAGGCTAGAAAGGAATTGGAAACCCTGATTGAACTTAGGGTATGTTCACTTTATGTTATAGCTACGAAATGAACCTAAATTGAACCTAGAAGCGTAACTCGCTCTAAGCATGGTGGAGTGATAAGAGAACACCAAAATAAAGGCCAGAGCGAGCTCTAGCCTACTCCAACACCAGCTGCACCACCAGCATGAGTAGACGTACAGGTACCTACACGTGCCGCCTCGACCAGCTGCTGTACCTCCCCTAACAACGGATGGCTCTGCCGCAGTGGCCGGGTGGCAGGAGAGAGTGAGGAGTAGTGCCTAACTACAGCGTCGTAGAGAGTGAGGGCCGACGTCACCTGACGAAATTGGGTCCTCTGGTCGACCGGCAGGTGAGCACAAACAGCAAGCTCTGCGACAGCGTCGCGCTCCGTCCACTGTGTGCAGACAACGCAGTCTTCCCGGTACCGCCTCTGTACGGTCTCGCCAACGTCAGCAGCAGGCTCAGCGGGAGTCGTGGGGGCCTGAAGGGACCCCGACGTGTACTCGAGCAGGGAGACACCATCTCTAAGGAAACGCCGGAGATACCGGTGCAGGCCAGCGAGCTAGAACTCGAACATGAAAGAGCGCCCGTCGGCGTCAACCACTAGGACAATGAGAGTGGCCATGGCAGGCAGTGGCAGTAGTAGTAGGAGTGCACGGGCAGGGCGCACGCGCGCTGTCAGGGCAGGGAAGCTGCGCGTGCAAGGCAGCAGCACGGCGCAGAGCGCACGGTGCTTACGGGGCAGGGCACGGGTCGTTGGGCAGCAGGGCACACTGGGTGTTGGGCAGGAGAGCGCGCTAGCGTGCTGGGCAGCAGGGCGCGCTGGCGCGCGAGGCAGCGGGGTGCGCTGGCGCGTTGGGCAGCGGGGCGCGCTGGGCAGCGGGGCGGGCTGGCGCGCTGGGTAGCGGGGCGCACTGGCGCGTTGGGCAGCGGGGCGCGCTGGTGCGCTGGGCAGCGGGGTGCACTGGAGCGCTGGGCAGCGGGGCCCACTGGTGCAGTGGGCAGCAGCAGCGGGACGCGCTGGCGCGGTGGGCAGCGGCGGGACACGCTGGCGCGCTGGGCAGCGGGGCACACAAGCGCGTTGGGCAGCGGGGTGTGCTGGCGCGCTGGGCAGCGGGGCGCGCTGGCGCGTTGGGCAGCGGATCACCCGGGACAGAGCACAGCGCACCATTACCTTGACTCAGTCACACATGGTGCAGCAGGTCCTTCAGCGCTTCGGCTTCACGTACTCCTCGCCACAGTCCACTCCTCTGCCTACCGGTCACTCGCTCTCAGCTCCACCTTCGGACGAGTCCGTAGAGCCGAGTGGCCCGTATCCAGAGCTTGTGGGCTGCCTCATGTACCTGATGACTTGCACACGACCTGACCTCGCATACCCTCTCAGCCTTCTGGCTCGCTACGTGGCTCCCGGTAGGCACCGAAAGGTGCACTGGGATGCTGCGAAGAGGGCGTTGCGCTACTTGTGCAGTACGTTGGGCATGGGGCTAGTGCTTGGAGGACGGGCTCGAGTTGTTATCACTGGTCACGCAGACGCCTCCTGGGTTGACGACTTGGCTACGCAGCGGTCGTCACAGGGTTACACCTTCAGTCTTGGCTCCGGCTCTGTCTCTTGGCGGTCTACTAGCTCGTCTTCTGTTCTCAGCTCTAGTTGTGAGGCTGAGATCTACGCTGGGGCCATGGCTGCACAGGCGCTACGCTGGCTTACCTACCTGCTGACTGACTTGGGAGAGGCGCCTCGTTCTCCTCCAGTTCTGTACGTCGACAACAAGGCCATGCTGGCCTTGTGTCAGGAGCACAGACTGGAGCACAGAACGAAGCACATTTCTCTGCGCTACTTCCTTGCTCGAGAGTTGCAGCAGCGTGGTCAGCTTCGTCTTGCTTACGTGGCCTCTCAGGCCAACACTGCTGATGTTTTCACCAAGGCACTTCCGCCTTGTGATCATCAGCGTTTCTGTACTGTTCTAGGCCTTGTACCTACTGTGCCTCACTTGCTTACGTCTTGACTCTGCTTGTACTGTACTCTATATACTTATACCTGCATGCTTACACTTGCTAGGTTGTGTTCACTGTATTGTTTGTTCTCCTTTATATAACTCTGCATGTGAACTGGCCTTGTGGCCATTTGCTTGTGCTCAGACTGGGTGGTGACTTTGTGATCCACCCTGAGCTTGCTTTGCCTTGCTTGACTGGTCTTGTGACCTCTTGTTCTCCCCCACTTTGCCTATGGGGGTGTGTCCAACATATCTGCTATAGTCTATCTAGGCTGTAGTGGGGTAGTCAATACAGGGTACAACACTTTTAGGTTTTCATACTTGTACCCACCTGCTGCCTAGTTCATTCATTCCTTCTGTTGATTTTGACAATTGGCACTCCCCTCCGCTGTCTCCTCTACGTCCTTCCCGCCCTTGCGCTTCCCCTTCTTCCCCACTCCGCTCCGCCTTTCTTCCTCTGACCCTTCCACCACCACCATCCCCCATCCTGCCTCCAATGCTTCCATCACCACCCTTTTTGCTTGCGTCATCACCCACACCTCCTCGCTCTCATCTCCACCAGTTGTCGCACTCGATTTCGTATCCGTCGCTTTAGCTGTGACCGCCGGTCGCACTTGCGACGCCATGCGACAAGCCACCGTCTGGTCGCTTGATCGTAAAGTCGGATCGAAACGAGAATGTCATCTAGGCTTGAGCAACAAGTTTGTAGCACTGCTAAAGTGTTCTCGTGCAAGTGAGTTCTTGCTGAAATGCTGTGAACCGGCAAAGAAGGAAACAACGGAGGAATTGAAGGGGGGGAGAGGGAAAATTGCTAGAGGTTGAAAAGAACAATGTGGAACAGCAACGGGGATCATGAGGAAGAGCTTGAAAAGGAATTTGAGAACAAAACGTAGAGGGTTGACATTTATCGGTGCTTTGGAGGGAATCTTGGCAGAACCACCAATTGGGGAAAGTTGCGGCCCGTCGGCAAAGGTTTCCGGTTTTTTTACATGAGCTAGATAGCGACAAAAGTGGGTTGTGGGACAGCGTGACAACATGCAGGTGAAATTTGATTACAACTCATAAGAAAATTGGTGTACACCGTACCCAGTTTATGGAATCCTTATCTTTGCTGCCAAGAAGCACCGGCACCTGCACTGAATACAACAACAGACGGACTCCTCCCGGTACACGTAGCATGTGCAGGGCATTCCAATCCAAGGTTTGAGTCATCACCTGGAGTTTCCGTGCTCTGCGGCATTTTACCCGTATTTTCCATTCATGACGAGACTTGACACAATGTTCATGCAAGGCTGGCCGATTGACCTTTACACACCTTCGATCACGATTTATCCCGAAACCCAGCCCAACAACACTCGAGTGTTTTTGCAAAGCGGGGTCGATGTCAGTCCTGGGCAGGTGTGTGTAGTACTGTACTCTACCTGGAGCCTTCCCACGCCTAGGTTTCACCTGGCTACAGTTCTAATACTGTACCCTCCCCAACCTCCGTCATGTACCCCGCCAAGTGCATCTTCCTGAATGCGCTGCCACCCAGCGCATTCTCACCTCAATGTTTCCTGCAGCACGCAAATCTTGTAAGTGGAAGACTCAATTCGTGCGTCATTGAAGTGAGGCATTTCACTTATACAAAGTTTTGTTACAAACCGTACTGAACAGCTTCGTAACGTCCTCACGCCCCGAAGTACTCATCCCTCTCTTGTTCTTGCCAAGAAGACGGGCGTGTCATAGAAGTTCGTGAACCGTTCTTGTAAGATTTTGTAACCCGATTTTTCTCTATAACTATGATAAATATGGACATGTTGCATTACGGTATGCCTATGGCACGTCGCTAACGCCAGAGGGTTTGTAAAATGCACGTTTGAATAGAACATCACTAGTACATACCTTGAATGAACGCGTCCGTTAGAGAGTTACCATAAACAAGAGCCTCGCCAGGCTCTGTTTGCTGGCGAAATATATTGCTGTCCTCTGCGAACGGCTGCACGATCGTGGGCAAAGGGTTACCGCTCGCGGATCGGATGTGAGTTGTTCCGGGAGACGCATTTCTATGGCCGGGTCATTGCGTCCTGAAGGGAACATAATTTTCTCTCAATGACGCGCATTGGTTGTACCATTTTCGTTATCATCAATTGAATGGATAAAAATGCGTGAAGAAATTATTACTGGCCCCCAATGCCAGTCAGCAATTCATTTTAGTTACTCAAGCATTTGAACTGTGTTTACTTCACACGTCGAGGGGCCGGTACACTTTCTCTCACGATCAATTTACCAGCTACTAGGTGTTTCACTCCACTATGGGGCTCCAGCGTTATCTTGGCGTGCCGATTCTCATCCAGCGTTACTAGGTGTTTCACCGCATGCGTCAGTGAGTGACGCGGCATTTTTTACATGGTAGTGTTTTCAAACAGTAAAATATCTAGAAGCCCCAGCAAATCCATCCCCTTGAATGTCACTTTTCTCTGTTAACTCTATACGAAATTTGCCACGTGACCTTCTTCCATGATGCGCAGCCTCGACAAAAGCGGTGGGTTCCCCCGACGAGGCAGCCATTCAAGGATTGCTCGGGTCCTTAAAAGACTAGGTCGTCTTGAAAAGGAAACCCACTGGCACGGGTCTTTGCCCATTGCCCAAGCCCAAAAAGGCCCAAGCTCTCGGAAATGTGACAGGTGAGAGACTTCGCGAATTTCGCCTTGGGACGTTTCCAAAACGCGACGTGTTGAAGCAAGCTTTGCTACTATTGGTCTTCAGCCATGTCTTCCCATTTCTTCAATGTTTGTACTAATCTCTTTCCTCTTTCCCCCCAAACTCAGTACTCTCTTGATATTTTGGGAGGCTCTCATTCCATCACTTCTCACACTCCTCTCCTCTCTCATATCGTTCTGCCGCTCTTCTTTCCGCGTAGCCATTTTCGCTGCTCGGTTGAACGGATCCGAAATAGTTGGGTCAACAGACGACGTCGGCGCCAGCGGTAGAATCTGCCTTGCCATCTACGAGTAAGCCAGTACTAAATATTTCCCTATTGTCTCAGTTTGTTTTCACAATATTAACTAGCGAAACCAGGCCTGGTTGCTTTTTAGCCCAAGGCTGGAACAGAGTATGTTCCAGATCGCTGCGATCCCCTCTGTCTACTAATAGAGTGTCTCTGAACATTGCGTTTCCTTGAGCGATTTTACCAATGCAAACCCCAACATTTTTCTTCTTCTCTCGCCTGTGTGCGAACCCTGACTCCGTAGGATTGACGGATACGTCAACGTCTTTTACCATGCGCTCGTCTCTGTTAACGGGAGTGGAGTGCTGGCCCCGCCCTCGCTTGGGCAACGCCGACGACTTGGTCGGAGGTACGGGAGTCGCAGTTGACCGTTCATAGTGGGAGAGCTGCTCAACAGGCTTCGTCACGCTGCAGGGGACCACTGTGGTGTTGCTGTCGACCAAGGAGCTCGACAGCTGCAACTCACTGGTCTTGGCGACGGGTGGGCCGTCGACTAGGAGGGGCAGTTCGACTGGGAGGTCGACGGAGCAGTCCGCCGACCTGCAGTTTGACTGGGAGGTCGACAGAGCAGTCCGTCGACCTGCAGTTCGACTTGGAGGTCAACGGAGCAGTCTGTTGACCTGACAAGTGAGCAACAGTCGACGAGGGGAGCTCGGCGACAACAGCTGACAGTTCTAGTCGACGGAAGGGGTCCGTTGACCAAGGGGTAGCTCGACGGGAGCTGTGGTCGACCACGCGCACCTGGTGGTCGACCAGAGAGACTCAGTGGTCGACCAGAGGCACTTGGTGGTCAACCAGAGCACCTGGGATTGTCCAGATCGACCGGGTAACCTGCTCGGCGAGTTCTGCGGAGGCACGTGAACGCCGTCGAGGTCGCGATGGCGAAGGCGACTTCGGGTTGGTATCCCAAAGTTGATGTGACTCGTCAGGCGCAGACAACAGCCGATGGATGCACTACGGTGCAAGTTGGGCCAATCGTCTGCACGCACCTGCGAGCGTGCGCACTGCTGTCTTCTACGGGGCAATGCTGGACAGCCGCTCTGCTGCAGCGTTGGCACACCGTCGACCTGTTGTCTTGGCAGGTCACCTTTCTGCAGTGCTGGCGCGGCTCCTCTACGCAACGCTGGCAGGCGGTCGACCATGCTGTGCTGTCGGTCGACCTGGCTAGCTGCAGAGTTGCTAGGTGCCTGATGTAGTCA